TTTGGGGGGGGTTTTCCGTCGCCGCCAGGGAAGAAGTCGGAGGAGAGGGGGAGAAGCACAGCAGCGAAACCCTAGGGCCAAAGGGGGCTTTTATAGGCGATGATGAGGGGCTGGCGACAGCCTGTCGCCAGCGAATAACCCAGACGCAAAGGTCGGGTTCGCCAAACGCAGAGCTCGGCATCGCCTAACGCAGAGCTCGCCATCGCCTAACGCAGAGCTCGGAGGCGAACGCAGAGCTCGAGGGGGGTTCGAAACGCAGAGCTCAGGCTTCGAGCTTCGTAGGCTGGACTACCGGAGCTCGCCTGCGACCATCGAACTCGTCGGAGCTCGTCGGAGCTCCTCTTCGCCGGCGGAGGTTTGTTTTCCATCCCCAATTCTAACACACTGGCCTCGTGGAACGACTCTGTTCATTTCTGTCGATGGCAAGGCATCACTTGTGGTGGCTTCCGACATCCTCAAAGGGTCGCATCCTTGAACTTGAGCTCCCTCGATCTTGTTGGAGTTATTTCGACGGCCATAGCTAACCTCACATTTCTTAGGGAGATTGATCTGTCGGACAATCAAATTAATGGATCCATCCCACAAGAGATTGGTCACCTTTCCAGATTGACACATCTTGACTTGAGTTCGAATTCTCTTGAAGGAGGTATTCCTGCTTCACTCTCTCACTGTTCAAAATTAGAGGTACTTTTTCTGCGGGATAACAAGCTCCAAGGTGAAATTCCAGTCAGTCTCAGCAATTGCTCCAGCCTACAGGTCCTAAATTTAAAAAACAATAGCCTCACAGGACGTATACCTTCTTCATTAACAAGCTGACTGAGGAGACTGATCCTTCGATAAGCGAAAATGACTGGCCAAGGGTGTGCTCACAGGCTTGGCGTCGCCCATGTTGAATCTCTGCAAAACACGGTTGATGTACTCCGTCTGAGATAACTGCAAGAGACCTCTCTTCTTATCTCTCGTGATTTGCATTCCAAGGATCTTCTTCGCTGGACCCAAGTCCTTCATGTCAAACTCCTTTGACAGCTGCTGCTTCAAACTCTTGATATCCTCCATATCTGCTCCTGCAACCAACATATCATCAACATACAGCAGTAGGATGATATAGCTGGACTGATATCTTTTGAAGTAGCAACAGTGGTCGGCGTTGCACTTCTGGAAACCTTCCTTGTGCATGAAGCCGTCAAACTTCTTGTACCACTGTCTTGGGGCTTGTTTCAGGCCATACAAGCTCTTCTTGAGTCTGCACACCAGGTTCTTTTTCTTCTTTTCTTCTGAGAAACCTTCTGGCTGGTGCATGTATATCTCCTCTTCTAGATCTCCGTGAAGAAACGCCGTCTTCACGTCTAACTGCTCGAGATGAAGATCTTCAATTGCTACAATACTCATCACGGTCCTGATAGTATTTAGCTTCACCACGGGAGCGAAAATATCGGTGTAGTCAATTCCTTCCTTCTGCTGGAAACCTTTGACAACTAGCCGGGCTTTATATCTTCTGGAACCATCCTGCTCCTCTTTCACCCGGTACACCCATTTGTTGTGGAGTGCCTTCTTACCCGTGGGCAACTCAGCTAGTTCCCACGTCTGGTTTGATATGAGAGACTTCATCTCATCTTTCATTGCAAGCTCCCACTTGCTCGCATCTCCACACTGACAAGCTTCATCAAAGCTTTCAGGCTCCCCACCATCTGTCAACAACAGATAGTTCATGTATCTCCTGTTGGGTACAGGAGGACGAGAAGATCTTCTTAATATCGGAGCTGGTGCGTCGGGCTCCTGCGCACCATCTTGTCCAACAGGCTCTTCTTGCTGAGGACCCTCTGCATTGGGTTCTTCCGAGAGGTTACTCGGGACATCATCTGCATCTACAAATATTGACTCGCTCTCTGAGTCATCTGTCTTGTGCATGTCCTTGTACATCACCTTCTCGTTGAATATCACATCTCTGCTCCGGATCACCTTCTTGTTTTCGTTGTCCCAAATGCGGTAGCCGAACTCATCTTCACCATAGCCGATGAAAGTGCATTTCTTTGACTTGGGATCAAGCTTATTCCTGCCTTGATCACTAATATGCACGTAAGCTACACAACCGAAAACTTTTAGATGTGAGAGTTTTACCTCCTTTCCGCACCATACCTCCTCTGGTATTCTGTGCTCCAATGGAACCGATGGACCTCGGTTGATCAAGTAAGCTGCTGTGTTGACCGCTTCTGCCCAGAACTGCTTCGGTAGGCCTGATTGTACTCGAATGCTTCTGGCTCTCTCTGTCAACGTTCGGTTCATCCGCTCAGCTACACCATTTTGCTGAGGCGTGCCGGGCACGGTTCTCTCCATTCTGATCCCGTGCTCATAGCAGAACTTCTTGAATCCGGTGTCTTCATACTCACCGCCATTGTCGGTCCTGAGCTTCTTTATTCTCAGACCGGTCTCATTCTCGACCATAGCTTTCCATCTCCTGAAAGCTTCAAATACTTCTGACTTATGCTTCAGAAAGTAGACCCACACTTTCCGAGAGTGATCATCGATAAAAGTCACGAAGTAGTGTTTCCCACCAATCGACGCAGTGGTGGTTGGTCCCCAAACATCTGAGTGAACGAGCTCTAGCTTCTGCTTCCTGGGGGTTCTGCCACTTGTCTGAAAGCTGACTCTCTTCTGCTTTCCAAGTATACATTCTTCACACATATCCATCTCCACTGACTGCAGTCCTGGGAGTTTCCCCTTTGTGTGCATGATTTTCATCCCCTTTTCACTCATATGACCGAGTCTCTGGTGCCACAGCTTTGAAGTCTCATTGCTTGCTGCAACTGAGATCGAACAATGTGCACCTGCTGTCATATACAGGGTACCAGTCTTCTTGCCTCGGGCAATCGTCATTGCGCCCTTTGAGATCTTCCAATCACCTCCATGGAAGGTTGTGGTGTATCCTTCGCCAGCCAACTGGCCTACGGATATTAAATTCTTTCTCAGGTCGGGAATATGCCTGACATCCTTCAGCTCCCATACTGACCCGTTCAACTTAATTTTCACCACGCCTTTGCCCACTATAGCACACGGTTGATCATCACCAAGATATACGTATCCAAGTTTTCCGGGGGTATACTTCTCGAAGAATTCTTTCTGAGAAGTAGCGTGGAACGACGCTCCTGAATCTAACACCCAAGATTCCTCCTTGCTCTCCAAAGAGCATATCAATGCGTCGTCTCCTCCTGAAGTGGATGTGACATTCACCTCTGCCTTTGCCTCCTTCTCTTTCTGTGCACTCTTGCACTGATTCTTGTAATGCCCGGTCTTTCCACAATTCCAACACTCGATAGCCTTCGAGCTGTTGCTTGGATTCCTTGATTTGGACCTCCTGTCCTTTGATCTACCTCTGAAGTTTGATTTTCCTCGTCCGTTTCCTCTGGTTGAATTTCTACCTCTTGACTCTGTATGCAATACTGAAGAGGTTGTAGCTTCACCCGTTTCTCTCCGTCGGATCTCCTCACTGAGAACCAAATCACGAACGTCGTCGAACTTCAACTTATTGTTTCCCGACGAGCTACTCACAGCTGTGACTGTAGCGTTCCAACTCTCTGGTAGGGAAGACAAAAGTATCAACGCCCGAACTTCATCATCAAATTCAATCTCAACTGAACTCAATTGGGTTGTAACCGTATTAAGTTCATTGAGGTGTTGTGCTACTGACGCGCCTTCCGCCATTTTCAGATTGAATAACCGCCGCATCAAATGAACTTTGTTCGCGGCTGATGGCTTCTCATACATGTTTGAGAGTGCTGCCATAAGACCTGCCGTGGTCTTCTCCTTCGCTATGTTGAACGCAACATTGCGAGTCAACGTCAATCTGATAACTCCGAGGGCTTGTCTATCTAGAAGGTTCCACTCATCTGCCTTCATGGAATCTGGCTTCTTCCCCGATAGTGGTTGATACAGATTTTTCTGATACAGATAATCCTCTATCTGCATTTTCCAGAATCCGAAATCTGTTCCATCAAATTTCTCAAGTCTCATTTTTGCCTCATCTGTGGCCATGGCTCCCACTTGAATCTGACTTGTTCTAGATCGTTTCACGCTCTGATACCAGTTGTTAGGAATTTAACGCCTAAACCCCTAATGCAACGGAAACGCGGTATAGAAAAAGTACACCAAGATTTAACGAGGTTCGGCAACTGCCTACGTCCTCGGGAGCCACACAGATAATTTTCTTATTAATCAAATAAGAAATTACAATTTAGGAGCGTATCTCAAAACTGAGATTTCTCAGATAAACACTGTAGCTACAGTGTTAATAATCAAAGGGTATGAACCCTTTCAATTCTCAACTGAGAACAAATACCCCACAATTCAAAACCCCTAATTAATTCCCTCTCTCTCTTCTTAAATCCCCCTCAACTAAACTGTTGAAAGCTGGGGATTAATCATAAAATCGCAGCTGCGATTTGGGGGGGGTTTTCCGTCGCCGCCAGGGAAGAAGTCGGAGGAGAGGGGGAGAAGCACAGCAGCGAAACCCTAGGGCCAAAGGGGGCTTTTATAGGCGATGATGAGGGGCTGGCGACAGCCTGTCGCCAGCGAATAACCCAGACGCAAAGGTCGGGTTCGCCAAACGCAGAGCTCGGCATCGCCTAACGCAGAGCTCGCCATCGCCTAACGCAGAGCTCGGAGGCGAACGCAGAGCTCGAGGGGGGTTCGAAACGCAGAGCTCAGGCTTCGAGCTTCGTAGGCTGGACTACCGGAGCTCGCCTGCGACCATCGAACTCGTCGGAGCTCGTCGGAGCTCCTCTTCGCCGGCGGAGGTTTGTTTTCCATCCCCAATTCTAACAAAATTAAGTATCGTCGTAGCCTTTATGTCCTACGGCCAAAGTTCTTGCTTATCTTCATCATCAACTGTGTTAACCCTGCCCATTGGATTCCCCTTTTTACTGCCCTACCCTCCACTCCTGTGGTTAAAACTTAAAAAGCTACCCCCTTTTCCCCTCCTTGGGAACCAAAAACAAATAATTTTCACTACTGCCACCCAAATTTACTGCTGTGCAGCTGCCCCCAAAGATTCCCCTCAACAATGCAAAAACCCTAACCCTAATAATAACCCAAGCGCCCAACAACAAAAAGCCACAAAACTTACAAAACCCAACCCAACCCCCCCTCCTACTGATTCCTCAAAGTTTTTCCCAGACATATTCCCTCTCTTATTCCATACGAAACCCTTGAGATCTCCTCCTCTTCGAGGGGAAAAAAAAAGAAAAAAAAGTCCTCTCTTTTTTAAACCGAGCGGGCAGAAAATGCCGACTACTCTCAACTCGATCATGGCGAGGTCACCAGCGCCAACGAGCGGCGCGGCGGCGGAGAGAGCTCGCGCGCGAAGAACAGAGAAGCGTACGCGGCGGCCGGGGCCACCTCGGAGCTGCGGCGGCGGCGGAGATGAGGAGCGCGACGAGGCCGGAGGTCGTCGGTGGTACGTGTACGGCCTCTGCACTTACTTCGTGCAGGTCTTTCTGCTGCCCGTTCTTTTTCCTCTCATGGTGGCTCAGCGGGCCTCTCCGGCGTCGGGGATGCCTCCTCCGCGGCCGTCACCGTCGCCAGCCGTCGCCTGCCACCGAAATGGGACCCTCTTGTGAGTAAAGTTTACTGCTTTTATTGGTTAACACGCTAGGTTCGAAATATGAAGTTTTGGTGACTAAAATTTCAAACCAGTTACAAGTTTTGCGGGACGAGTTTCGTAATATGAAATATGTTGGATACTAAAATATAGAAAATCTGCTCCCTTTTTTTTTAAAATTGTACCCTCCATTTAGCATGTTTTGGGTCACTTTTTGCAAAATATTAAGAGGTGGTGGATTGTTTCGAAATATGAAATATGTGGAGACTGATACTAGAAAAACCCATTTTTCTTTCTTCGGCCTTCTTTAAAAATTAGCAATAATGATGTAATTAAGCAGGCTTGTTAACTATAAACATGGGGGTAATGATATGAAAGATCATAATGAGAGATGGCTTTGAAGTTATGGGCTGGGCCTGCCGCATCGGAAGAAAAGTCCAAAGGAGTGCATTGACTCGAGAGTCGCAGATTAATTATTTTTTTCCCGGGATAGGGAAAAAAAGTAAAAAAGTGAAAAAAAAAAGTTGAAAAAGAAGAAAGTGGGGCATGTGAGCTATTGATGGGCCTGATTTAGCTTTTACTGACTTCGAGGGGGTATTTTTTCTTTTTCATTTTTGTTGTTTTACTTTAGCTCTGGCCCGTGGAAAGTATTCAAAATTCGAAATTCGAAATTCGAAAAGAGAATTATATTGCTACAGTGTACATAATTATACTTGAACAAAATAAGAAAAGATTGTTGAGATTTATGGGTGGGGGTGGTTAGAGTGGTCCCTTCTTTGTCTAGCTTCCATAGCTTGTTAGCATAAAAAGAAATTTCCCATATAGATTAGTTTCCAAGATGAAATGAACACAACTATCCAAAATTAGTATCTTACATTTATACCCATGTGGCTAGACTGCAAGTTCACTGAAAGGGGGGGGTAAAAAAAGAGAGTATCTGTAGAATTAGGGGAAATTGGGTGGTGAACATTTCGTTCCAATTTACAATTTAAAAATTATGTTAGTAATAGCAGTTTATGATTTGAAGGTTGAAGAACTAATTATGTACATTTATCAGCTTGTGTAACATCTTGAGGTTCCTTGATTATCTTTTAATTGAAAACTGGGAATTATTCCAGTTCGCTAGTACTAATTAATTAGCTGCTTTCTCTCTAATTTTGAATTGGTCTCTCTTCTTTTGAATTAGTCTCTCTTTGACAGTACATAGGTAATCATGAGCTAGGATCACAAAATCACGCTTTATCTCTTTTTTTTGCTCTTTATTTATTTTTTACTCTTTTTTTCTTTTTCTTTTCTTAGTCCTTTTTTTTTTGGGTATTCTTACTTTAACTTTCGGCAGTAGCCAACCCACAATTCATTTTTTTCTTTTTATATTTTTGCAGGGAAGAGCTATCTTAGTAGAATCTTCCAGACTTTATTTTTATTTTATTTTTTGTTTTTTAGAGATAATTTGTAGATAACATGTAATATCATAGATTCTTAATTTTAATGGTTTGTCTTAAAGTCCCTAACCATTATATCAAAGGTCTGAAGTTGTGGTGAGAGATGAGGGTTATATTTTATATCTGTTCGAACATGTCCACGCATGTTGAGCACATTGTTTATGGGCCGAAACATGGACTCACGCTGCGGTGTTAATTTTTAAAAATTTCGCTTTAAATTTGTGACAGATGAGATTTGAACTTGACTTGCTCTGATATTATTTGAGAGTCCAAAGTGTTACACCAAAGCTCCAAAGTTGTGATGAGGGTGAGGGTTATATTTATATATTCTAACAGCTTGTATAGCAGTCAAAAGATGTAGTTTTCCCACTCTGAATATCAGTACTGACCACGTAAAAAGTCAACCTGTTCTTTTGGTAAGTGTCAGTCAGTATTTTGAACTAATCTGAAAAGTTTGAAAGAATGAAAAATGATAGATAAGAAACATTTTGCTTATCAAATAAGAGTTATAATTTTCAAGGAAGTTGTCTTATTAATAAAAATTTTCATTTTCTGAAACATGACGAATACACGAACTCTCCATTGTCTCAGGTACCAAATGGTTGTCCACCGTTCAATCCATGTAACTGATTCAAGACTGTCACCTCTCCACTGGACAGCGATATCGTGGTTCGCTGGAATAATCATCACCGCTCCGGTCCTCCCTAGAGTAGCCCAGCAACTCGACCACGGCTACCACCAGCCCTTCATCCTCGGTGCTGCCACAGCAATAGGTTCCTTCATCTGCCTCCTCACCGGTTTCTTCAAGACCACATGGCTTTTCCCTTTCTACATCGCCATCGTCACCATGACCATCACTTGCGCTTCTGCAGTCCACACGCGCCACCTTGGCCTCATTGTCCGTGGCCTCTCTGGTGATCAAAGGGTTCAACAGCGGCGAAAGCCCCTTATAAGCTCCAGTATGTCCTTATTTGCAACATCATTTGGCAGTTTCGGGACTGCATTTATCGCACTCTTCACATTTCACATGCTGCGTCGTACTGATCACCTGACCAGCTTGTGGGTAGTCTCCATCTTCTGTGGTCTCAAATGGTTCTTGGGGTTCACTGAGACCTTCTTTGCTAACAGACCAGGCTCACCCTCTGCTTCTCTTACCCTGGTATCTAACTACTGGCCTCAGCTTGTAGGCCGCCTCATTGGCGTATTTCTCTCGTCGGTCTCTTCGACTTGTATTTTCACAAGTGCGACGCTCTATTTAGTGGGCGGTCTCTGTATGAAGCCGGTGTTGGTGTTGGCTATCTGGATGGTCTACTTTGTGTTTGCTGCAGTTGCTCTTCCTACGTTGCACCCAATTCAGCTCTTGCTACGTGCTGACCCTGTTAAAATGAATCTACTAGGGTTTATATTATCTGCAACTGCGTCGGGGTTTGGATTCTACTTCAAGGATCACCGTAAATGGCACTTTGCTTCTGTACTCTTGATAGCGATCGTACAGAGCGCAGGTGCGGGGATTCTTAACGCATTTGGTAGGGTTATGGTTCTTGATCGTGCCCCGACAGGCAAAGAAGGTGTTTTTTCTTCTTGGTACGAGTGGGTGAAGATGAGCGGTGCCTGTGCTGGCTTTGCGTTGGCTGCGGTTTACCCTGACAATATAAGAAAAACTTTCGGGGTTTCGTTCTTGGCTGTGTTTGTGGGCATCGTCGTGTTGATCTTTGGGAGCGAGGTGAGGGATTTTGGGGGGAAAAGGCTGCAGCATGAGAAGGAGAGTGAGTCCTCTGATAATGGAATGGAGAAGAAGGGAGATCAGAGCAAGGAGTACATTGGGGAGAGGGAAGGCAAGCTAGGTGAGGCAAGTGTGCAAGTCTGACTCTTTTTAAGCTGAAAATTTCTCTGAAGTGTTTGGTGCTGTCTACTGCTTTTCTTGATTTGTTGTGGTTTTGTATCATTTATTGCTATTTTTTCTAATTAAGGTCTTCTTCACGCATGAAACTCTGTTGTAAATGAAGCAGATCACCATATAATTTTGCTTAACCTTGTGACCTGACTTATTAATCAAACATTCTGTTGTTGGTGTTGGTGTGTTAATTTCTATACGGAATCTCCAGGACTTTGTTTTGTTAGTTTGTGATTTATCAAATTGGTGTCTGCTGGTGTCTGTCCATAATTATCTTTCTGTACTCTGCATTGGTGTTTCAGTAGAAAGACGTTCTTTATTAATATGGAAGTACAGAATCTGATAAAAATTTCCAGTGGCTCATGGATCCTGAGCTAGGTGTTACGAATTTTATAGAGATTACTTTGTGAAATTAAATACTAAATAAATAATGAGACTAATACAATACTACACGCAAGTAAATATCAAGATTTAACATGGCTTAGTAAATCGTGTCTATGTTTACGGGGCAATCCAAAGAGTAATATTTTCCTATCAATTTAGAGTATAATCCCTCAAAGTTACATCTGAATTTGAGGATCAAATCACAATAGAAAAATCTGTCTCTTGTGATTTTACTATTAATACAACGTTAGTTCTAGGGCATCAAAACCCTAAAATCTGTCTCATCACAAATCTCTAACGTCCGCAGAGAAATCAACACAGTATTCTTGATGGCGTTATCGTTTTAAAGACAACGATTTTTGAATCACTGCAATCGGACAATCGAGCTACCTGGAATCTTAACCTCTCTCTCTCCCCCTGAAGTCTGTGCTGCCCTAAAAAAACTCTCTGGTTACTGTAGCTACAGGACAACTAACTCAAGATGATAGATATCACTCGCCCCAATTCCTTTAATAAAGGAATTTTATTTCTAGCTCCTTCTATTCTATTCAAATTAAGAATAGGTCCCTCAAATCATTTTCTTAGTAGGAGACAACCATTTGATGTAGTTCTTATGGGCCTCAATTGGGCTGGATCCACAACAATCTCCCCCTCCAGCCTAAGAGTAGGTATACCAATATGTAACTTCTCACCGGGAGTTTACTCCGATCAATCGCCAACACAACTTGGTCTTCTCTCTGGAAATGATATTCGTTAAAAAATCTATTGGATTTTATTAGTATGAATCTTCTGTAGGTTCAGCTCCTCTTTCTCAACACCTTCTCTAAACCAACGATATCTCACATCAATGTGTTTTTTTTGTCTTAGAGTGATATGTAGAATTCTTGCTCAAATCAAGAACACTTTGACTATCAATAAAAATTTGATAATTATCCTGTTGCAAGCCTAACTACTGCAAAAATCTTCTCAACTAAACTATCTCCTTACCGACTTTTGAAGCTACAATATATTCCGTATTTGTTGTAGATAAAGCAACACACTTCTACAACATAGACTGATAGAATCTAGATAATGAAACAAAATGGTAATGAAGCTAAAATCTAAAAATCTCCTGAAATATACACAAGAATTTGCAAATGTCCTATGGTAGCCATGACTCAACATGAAATAGTCAAATTTCTTGTACCATTGCCTTTGTGCATGCTTCAAACCATAGAGGCTCTTTTAAAACCTGTAAACCATGTGTTCTTTTCTCTTCACTTCTAAACCCTCGGGCTGATCCATGTAGATCTTCTCTCCAAATAACCATGAAGAAATACAGTCTTCACATCAAGCTGCACAATTTCGAGTTCTAAACTAGCTACTAACCCCAATATAACTCTAATGAATATCATCTTCACAGCCGGTAGGCAAATATCATCAAAATCAATGCCCTTTTTTGATTAAAGTCTTTCACCACTAGTTTGGCTTTGTATTTTCGAATCTCTTTATAGCCATCATTTTTTAACTTGAATACCAACTTATTCGTCAAAGCTTTTGCGTCCTTTGGCAAATCCGCCAACTTATAAATATCATTCTTCTCAAGAGGCTTCATCTCTTCCTTCATAGCCTAAAACTATATGTCCTTGTTTTTATGAGTATGTGCCTCCTGAAAGCTCTTTAGCTCCCCCTTTTCTGTCAGGAAAGAATACTCCGAAAGAGGATATCTAGTAGATGGTCGATGCTCTCTAGATGATATCCTAAGTTACAGTTCTGTAATCTCCTGTTGCTGGTGATGATCCCTTGCTAAGGAACCTCCTGTTCGTGATCCTGATCACCGTCTCTCTACTCCGATATCTGATTGTCATCATCAACACCGTCATCATGCACCTGCTCTGTATCTGTAGGATGCAAGTGTACTGGAAACGGAATGAGTATCATATCTAAAATCTCACTAGCAACACTCTTTGACTGCTCTGTTCTCCTGAGATCTATAATAGTCTGGTTTTCCTAAAAAATCATATCTGCTCATCTGATAATTTGTCTCTTTTCTAGATCTCATAGCTTGTAGCCGAACTCATTATAGGCTGTCTAATAATTACTATAGATAGCTGATCCTCATCAAACATTAATGATGAACGTTATAATTTGATGGCTTCCAGAAGGCTATAATTTGAAAACTTTCACGTAGATCGATGAATGTTACAATCTGACGACATTCACAATAACCGATGAAAGTTCTAATTCAACAACCTTCACAATCAACATCGGGAGGTATAATCTGATGACTGTCATATTTTTAAGGAGCCAAGACGAATGTTACAATATGATGATCTTTGTAACGTTCTAGCAAAAGAGACTACAAATTGACGAAATCAAAACGCATATATCTCTCAAACCGTAAGGAATTTGGCAAAACGGATGGGAGCAAACCGATCCATTTGGGTGGGTTTGGTCGGCTCCATCTCGTCAAGATAGTCGATCTTCATATATAATTCGTTCAATTCTGACTTACGATTTGAAAGTTACGACTTGTTCTTCGCAGCAAGTTATGTTCTGAAGCTCGTCTGTAAGACTGGATTTTGCCTGAACATTAGACTTTGCCTGAAGCTCGCCAAGCTCGCCTAAGGCTCGCCTCTGCGTTCCAGAGTCAAAACAACGCAACCACTGCATAATCCAGCCGTAAACGCAACTCAAATCCAGCTGCAAGCGCAGCTCAAATCCAGCTGCAAACGCAGCTCAAATCCAGATGTGTTATGTTAATGCAGCTTCTAAATGTTGTCAACGCAACTTCCAAATGCTGCAAACGCCGCTTCCAAACGCTACAGACGTAACTTCCAAATACTGTAAACGTAGCTCCCAAACGCTACAAATGTAGCTCCCTAACGCTGCAAACGCAGCTTCCAGACGCTGCAGACGCAGCTCCCAAACGCTGCAAACGTAGCTTCCCAGCGCTGCAAACACAGCTTCCAGACGTTGCAAATACAGCTTCCCAGCGCTGCAAACACAACTTCCCAACGCTACGTTCAAATGCAAAATTCGTGCCTAGCAATGTAGGACCTGCGTTTGACTCGTTCAAACAAGAGTAGAACGGTTCCAGAAATCATTTTCTTCCCACGATTTGAGGGATTTCCGCCCCACTTAGGAGCGGATTAAGGGGGCGGTTATACCCCATTAAGGTGCAAATCAAGGGGGTGGTTACACCCCCTTAATCTCCTATGAATAGCTAAAATTTTAGCTTAATTGAAACCAGTTTTGGGGAGGAGAGGCTAGAATTTTTCAGACCAGAGAATCACTAAGGAGATTAGCACTTGGAGAGTTTTTTTGAGCATCTGAGCATCATCAGGAGCTGTTCTTTGGAGCTTTCTTCTTTGGCTTGAAAACCGATTTCGATTAGATCTTAATTAACTCTTTCATAGAGTTTTAAACTTGTTCTGAGTTCCAAAAACTCATTAGGATTATAAACTTGCCTTGCAAGTTCTCCTCAATATCTAATCAAGATGATTCAACCGTGTTCTACGAGGTGAAACGTCGGATCATCAACGAGAAGCAAACTTGCCATGAGTTTTGAGAGAGACATCTCATCGACACCAAGAAGAACCTAAGTTAAACAAAGAGAAGGATCTCCATTGACCATTCTCTCTTTTGTAAATCGGGAAACCGATCGAGAAGATTGTAATTTCTTTTTCTAAGCCAATTTGAGAGAAATTTGTATCAGGAGAATTGTAATTAATTCTTTTTCTGAGTCTGTCAGAGAGAATAATATGAATTTAATTCTCAATTGTCTTCTTCAAATTTTCCCCAACCAAAAGATGACGACTTCGCTGGGGACTAGCTTTTTCACCGATGAAGAAGTGGTGACACAATCCGACACCAAGCTCGTTGGAACGACCGTTGAAACTCTGATCATCGAGTTTGATCAAGCCAAGTATGAAAAGTTACTCTCCTCCAGATCCCTTAGCTCCAAGGCTATGCATAAGATCCGTAAAGTTTCTAAGGAGACTAAAACTCCAGTTGTGACTGACTCGTTAAAGGACCATCTCCTCTGGGGGTTGCACTATTCATACAGTCCCCTCTCTGAAGGAGAAGACTTAGCTTTAGCTAAACTCGTCAATCGAATTGATGGTTCCATGCCCGTGCCAAAACAACAGGTATTGGGTCACAAGAGGCTTATCATTGTGACTAACCTGATAGTACAGATGGTGACATCGTTGTAAAAGCCTTAAAACAGACAAAGAAGAATGTTGTTCGACGAAGAAGAAGATCTCAACGACGAGCATAATTATGAGAAAGACGATCTCTCAATCAATGTGTGCCTTGCATTTGTGAGCCAAAACACGATCCTGAGCTTGTGTTTCTATTTCAAAACAAGAGCCTCGCATTCATAAGCCCAAACGAGAATCTCGTGCGAACCAAGTTGAACGCAGCCCTCAGTGGCGCGTTATGCAACCAAAACGCAGCTCTCAGGCCTGTGTTTTACCTTCAGAACGTAGCCCTCAGGCCTATGTTTTACCATTAGAACACAACCCCCAAGATTGTGTTGACCAGCCAGAATGCAGCTTATAGAGGCATGTTTCACAAGAAAATTATAGACCTCAATCTTGCGTTATTCAATCTACACACGACCCTCATTTTCCTTCTTCAGGACACGATTTGATTCGTCATTTCAGAAAAGACCAACATGGATTTAAGATTCATGTTCACCACGAACCAGTCCTATCTACTGATGGATAGGGGGTTCTAGCTTCAACTTCACGTTTAGTGAGAAATGCTTCCCAAGTCTCCGATTTAAGACAACTTTTATCAAGAGAAAGACCAGTGCAATAAGCCACTCATTCATGTGAATGTGAGCGACTTATTTCT